AAAAAAAAAATCAAATCTGCTGCATCTTTCAAGCGTCTCTTATACCTGAGCTATTGTAGATGTGCTCATTAGAATAGGAATATGGTAACTTCCATTTCTTGAGATTTCTATCAGATAAAGGAAAAAAGACATTCCAGACACTAAAAACATCTCTGTTAGGAGAGGCTCTGTTTTCATCAGGTGTCAATGGAAACTAAATCTTTCACTTAGGATTTTATATGTCTTGACTGGACGAATTTTCCACAGACTAGTGTCTGGCTTTGTGTATTTCACATCTTGTTTCTCTTCCTCTACCCTATTCTTCTTATACCTCAGAACAACCTCCAGTCTTGTACCTCTGTGTCACAATGCCAGATGAGTCCGCACAGTGGGAGGTGGGAGTATTTTTGGAAGCTATTCCTAAACCACAAAGGTGAACAGTAACTTCAGTATACATGAAACTGACTACAACCCACATAACTATGTCCCAGTAACTCAAAATTAATTTTATCTCTAACTCACCTTCTCCTTAGCCAGATCCTAAAAATACATAGTCACATCAACGTGAACAGGAGAGATGAAAGAATGGGAAACCAGAGATCTCATCCAGTTGTAGTTTAGAAAGCTTACTTTTGCAAATTTTACTAATACCTATGAGTTAACACAAAGACCTAGTGCTGGGGTCCTCTCAGAGCCCTGGATGGGCATGTGCAAGAGGAGGCCCAGTGTAAGCAACATTAGCTTCACAGTAAACCCCCCTCTGCCTACATATAGTAAGAACTGCTTAAGCATTAACTATTATTGTTGGCTCCATTTTCTGAAAGTCCTACCCTTGTGGTGGCAGGATGTCTACCATCAGTAGCTCCAGATTCATATCCTGCCAAGTTCTTGTGAAGCAGGAAAGACAAAGCGCCTCTTTCAGTACTTCATGTACCAGGATTTCGTTTGTACCCACTTGAGTCATGAGTCCAACGAATTGTACACCTCATGTTGCATTCTTGCAGCTAAAGGTGGAAGAATACTCCCCACACGGTGGGGGTTGAGGGTAGGGAAGGGGCTGCTTTCACAGAGGCAGTTTGGGAAAATTAAAGGGTCTGTGCATGCTGAATAAGAAAAAAGATGTCCATTTCCTGTGAATGTAGAGCAAACTCTGAGAAGAGAGAGTGGAAGGAAAGGGGAAGGCCAGCAAAGGAGAAGGGATGACAGAATGGAAAATGGAGGTGTCCAAGGTCCTCTCCAGCTTGGCAGCTTGGGTAAGGCCCTGATAGACTAAACAGGCATGTCCATCCTCCGAGGATCCCCACTGGCCTGGGTGAGCACCATGTGGCCTTAGCCAAACCCTGCTGCGCCTGCTGGCCCTGCTTCAGACTGACTGGCCCCAAGTGTCCTCTGCCTGTCTCCTGTCCTCTCACCTTGGCCTTTGTTCCTCTTGGTCCACCTCTCCCTGTCCCTGCTCCTTAATCACAACCTTTGCAGGGAGGTCTGGTGTGGGGAGATCAGCAGGACTTGTGCCAACAAATTTGCTTCCTGGTTCTTGGTCCCTCCCTCTTCCCACTTTGAAAAGGAACTAAGTAAAATGTTAAATCTTGGCACATAATTCATTTTCTCTTGTCCACTCTGAACTCTGTGGCCCCTCTATAGACCTGCTCCAACAAGGTAGTCACTAGCTATGTGTGGCCACTCTATTACACTTCAAAGGTAGCTAGTCTGAACTAAGACATGCTGTAAGTTCTGTGAAAACTGGATAGCTACATGCAAAAGAATGAATCTGGACCACTTTCTTACACCACACATAAAAAGAAACGCAGAATGGATTAAAAATCTGAATGTGAGACCTGAAACCATATAACTCCTCAAAGAAAACACAGGCAGAGAACTCTTGGATATCAGTCTTAGCAATATTTTTTGGTGTCTGTCTCCTCGGGCAAGGGCAATAAAAGCAAAGCTAAACTATTGGGACTACATTGAACTAAAAACCTTTTTCACAGTGAAGGAGACCATCAAAAAAACTGAATAAGAGAAGACATTTGCAAATGGCATATGTGATAAGGGGCTAATATCCAAAATATATAAAGAACACATGCAACTCAACACCAAAAACACAAACAATTAGAAAATGGGCAGAAGACCTGAATAGGCATTTCTCCAAAAAAGACGTTCACAAGGCCAACAGACACATGAAACTATGCTCAACATCACTCATCATCAGGGAAATGCAAATCAAAACCACAATGAGATATCACCTCAGACCTTTCAGAATGGCTAATATTAAGAACACAGAAAACAGCAAGTGTGGGAGAGGATATGGAGAAAAAGGAACCCTTGTGCACTGTTGGTTGGAATGCACATTGGTGCAGCCACTATAGGAAACAGTACAGAGGTTCCCCCAAAAATTAAAAATAGAGTTACCATACAATCTAGTAATTCCACTTTAGGGTATTTAACTGAAGAAAATGAAAACACTAATTAAAAAAGATACATGCCTACTTATGTTTTTTACAGCATCATTTACAATGGCCAAGATACGAAATCAATCTAAGTGTCCATCAACAGACAAATAAGTAAAGAAAATGTGGGGTGTGTGTGTGTGTATGAATATACATACGAATATATGTGGTATATATATACATGAATATACATATGAATATTATTCAGCAAGAAAAAAGAATGAAATCTTATCATTTATCATTTGGAAAAACAGAGATGGACCTAGAAGGTATTATGCTAAGCAAAATAAGTCAAGACGGAGAAAGACCGATACCATGTGATTTCACTTATATGTGGAATCTAACAAACAGAATGAATGAACAAATGAAAGCAGAAACAAAAATCATAAATACAGAGAGCAAACTGGTGGTTGGGGTGGGGGGGGGTGTTGGGAGGATGAGCAAAATAGGTGAAGAAGATTAAGAGGTACAGACTTCCAGTTATAAAATAAGTAAGTCAGAGGGATGAAAAATACAGCCTAGGAAATGTGAACAAAAAGATAAGCTATAAACTGTAAAACACGCAGTGGATTTTGAAAACTTAGTATGAAAGAAATGTAAAATATCTCCTTAACAATTCCATATGTTGATTATAGTTGAATTGATAATACCTTGAATTATTGGGTTAAATAAATGCATTATTGAAATTAATTTCTCCTATATCTTTTTACTTCTTAAAATGTGACCACTAGAAAGTTTAGTAAGACATATGTGGCTTGCATGACTTTCCTATTAGACAGTGCTGCTCTAGGCCTTTTTTCCAGAAGCTTTCTCATGCACGCATACCCACGTAATTCTGCACCTAATCTCAGAAACTATTCAGAGTGCCCCAAGTTCCATCCATGGGCCCTAGCTCAAGCTGAGAATCTCTGAGTCAGGAATGCCATGGTTTTTACCAGGCTCAGCATCAACCACACCATACTGCACAGGTGAAGTAAACTGAGCACAAAACTCTCCTCTTAGTCCAAAGAGCTGAGCCCAGGGACCCTGTCCTCTGGGGAGGTGGGGGTGCCTGGCCCTGCCATGCATGTGTGGATGGCTGGCACTGGGGGTTACCTCATGGTAGGTGACGCTTCAGCTCTGCCTCTGTAGCTTCCCCTGCCAATCTGGTGGTTCCAGATGAGGCCCACATCAGTTCAGGGAGATGTTTATTCACTCAGCGAGATGTGTTTTTCAGGGATGGCTCTGAGACTGGCCCTGGTCATGGAGGGTAGGTGGGCTCCACGCTAGGCTACGCCCAGCCTGGTGAAGGGGACACAGACTTCTAGTCCAGAGAGCATAATCCTGGGCTCTGCCACTCACCAGCTGTGGGTCTTTGTGCATTGCTTCATGTATGACTCACTTTGGAATAAGTTGTTCTTCATTCATAGCTGTCTATGTTTTACATTGACTTTTCCATTAGATTTTATAGCTGGCTCATACAAATTAGAAATATTTCCCATTCAATTATTTTTCACTTTTTTGAGACTTATTAATTTTCTTTTTCTTTTTTCTTTTTTGCCAATTCTGTAATAATACCTTTTAGATCCATTTGTGCTAAGTTAACATTAATTCAGTTTCACTTGCCTTGAAAAACAAATCATATTGTTAAATTACATAGTGAACTGACAGTGAAAACACCGAATTCACGTCCTTTTAGGAGAACACTTCGTGCCACTGTGTACACTGAAAAGTTTAAACAGGTGACTTCACAAAGTCTTCTTCTGTGGTATCCATAGTCTAAGAGTTTCCTGTTTTGTCTCTGTTACCTTTATGTGGTAGGTTTGCCATTTGAGTCTAATGAAAATCCTCTAAATTCCTAGGATTAGCCAAAGGAAAGGAGTGAGGGTACAGTTGAGGGTGAGGGGCTTAGAACCAGAGTCCAGAGCCCCCTGTAGCTCTTCAGGTTCTGCACAGGGCCGGCCACCCCAGCATCCCCAGGATCCTGGCGGCAGAGAGCTGCTGAGGAGGTCTGGCCTCTTATCTCCTCTCATATACTCAGCCCTCCTCTCCCCTCCTCCCTGAGAGGCTCATCTGGCTCAGGCTGGGGCTGGGCTGCAGTTGCCACAATTCTGCCCCTACCCTGGCCCAGACCTTCAGCCTCAGGAGAACCAGCTCCCTGCCACTGCTCCTAGGACTTGTCTCCCCTCCTTGCTGCATCTGCAATTCTGATGCTCCGTGTCTGAAAGGGGTGCTCCACCTGCGGGCCCTGGAGCCCTGCCAGAGGTTTCTGGAGATGCTGGTTGGCCCAGCCTCTTGGGGAAGAGGAGAAGGTGCTAGGCTAAAGGAGTGACTTGGGGGGGTGGAGCCCCAACCTGTTTATAGGATCATGGCTCCTCGGAGCCTGGCAGATTCACAGTCCCATTCCCTTGGAATAGTTGCTGCCAGCCAGCGAGGGACCTGGCATCTTGGGAGGAGCTGGAGCCTGGGAGTGTCAGTATGGAAAGACTGACAACTAGGGGACCACCTGGCCATCCTCACCAGGTAACAGTGTTGCCAAGCCCTTGGGCATCGCTCAGGGCAGGGCCTGGGGCCAGGGTGCATTCTGAGAAGCCTGACATAGCTAACACCGAGGTAATTCTGACCTCTGGCAAAGGCCTGGGTCCCAGAGCTGGGGTCTCAGCCTAGGCAGAGGCCAAGGGTGGGAAGTAGAAGGTAAGGGGTTCTGTGTTTGGGGATGGGGAGTGGGTGGGGTGGATAGATGATCAGCTCTCATAAAAGTAGAGGGCCTGGGAGACCAGAGCTTTCCCTCTCCACTGTGAGTGATCAGCCAGTAGCCCCCTTAGAGGCTCTTACCCTCCTTCCCACAAAAGCTCACAGGCTGCATCAGAGAACACAGTGGCTACGTGTCACCAAAGGATACCCCACCAGGCCCATAGTTCACCACTGCAGGTAGTGAACTTCTTGGAAATGGTTGGGGCCAAGGGACCACCCTGTGTGTCTCAGGAGGTCTGCCAGGCCAACTCCCCACTCGCTGCCAGTTACTTCCCGGGCCCAAGAGATGAGGCTGCAACCAGGCCAAAGAGGTCTATAAACGACTAGCCCCACTCCTTCCATGTGCTTCCCCTTAGCCCAGATTTGTCTTCCTCTGCTGTGGACCAAGGCCAGAGGGACTGGCTCCTCAGGTCTCCCCTGGTGCCCCAGGCAGTGGCCATGACAGGGGCTAAGTGTGCTAAGCACACTGTCCTGAGGCATTTGCCTCATTCTTCAGACGTTGCCAGGTCTCTGGAACCTTGACCCTGAGACCCAGGCCTGAGTCAGATCCAGTCCAGCAGTTCCAGACTGGTGTTTCTGCAGAAGACTTGCCTGACTCAGGCCAGGGACCAGGCAATCTGGGGAAGGATAGAGAGACACCCCTCCATTGAAGGATGACACCTACTGCCCCAGCCCGTGTCAACCTGAGGTCTAGAAGACCACCCCCTCCAAGGTGGACATTAGTGTAAACGCCTTGATGGGGGGCTGGGAAGAACCCAAGGCTGCAGGAGATGGTGGTGGAGGGTTTGGACAGCCCGGGCTCAATCTGTTCCTCCCGTCAGGAGCCTGAGCCCCTGAGCCTACAGCCTTCAGCTGTGGAAGTTTCTGAAGTATCTGTCTTCATCCTCGTCTCCCTGGGGAAGGCCGGGCATCTTTTCCTGCTACCCTCTGCCTGCTCTAGGCCCAGCCCAGGGGCAAAACTGAAGCTCAAGGTGAAGTGGCTCTGGGAGCTTGAGTCGGCCCACATGCCTGGAAAACACCTTTCCTGTAGCTGATGTTGTTGGGACTGACTGAGTCCCCAAGACCAGACCCTTTACCCTCAGCCTTCAAGTCGGCTCCTGGGGCAGCCTCAGTAGTGGCCTCACCCAGCGTCTTTCTTGCTGGAAGAGGGAACTGGAGCTTGCCCTGGCAGCAGGAGCTGAGCTGGCAGGACAGGTGAAGCATCCAGGACTTGCTCTGGAACGTGCCTGCTGTGAGATCTGGGAGCATCAGCTCAGCATGACTCAGGAGACACGGGGCCTGAGGCTGTTCCTGAAGTTTCCAACCTCCCTCTCTCCAACCTCCTCTACCACACAGGTCCCTCGGTGCCAACAGGGGGAAAGGCAGCCTGCTCATTTTTCTCCTCCTGATGAAGACCCCATGGTCACAGATACTCCAGACCCCTATATGGGGACTCTAGCCCCCTTAAACTTCCTTGGGTCATATCTCCTGTCTTGAGCCAGGGTCAGCACTGAGTCTCTCCATAGGGAGGAGGCTGGAGGAGGCCCTGGGAGAAACAGTGGCTGACACTCTCAGCAGGGAGGTACTCCCAGGATCTTCCGGGAAGCTGGGCTGGGGGTCCTTGCTGGAGAAGCTCTCCATAAGCATCCAGGGTCAGTCATCAATTAAGGATTGATGGGATGATTTCAGATGGGAGGACATTTCAAAAGGGAAGGGGAAGCCGCAGTGCCCTCAGGAGAATCCTATTAGTTAGTTCAATATTCATATTGGTCTAAAACAAATCTATGAAATTCTGCTGTCTATATATCCCCAGGGCAGTGGGGGAAAGTTGCATGCTTTTACAAAGAAGCGAAGTCCTGGGAAGGTAGAACAGCACAGGAGATATGAGCTCTGGCCTTAAAGATCTGGGTTTGAATCCTGACTATGTCACCTACTAACTCTGTGACCTACGGCAAGTTGACCTTTCTGAGCCTCAGTTCTCTCATCTGTAAAATGGGAGGAAAGCAGAATACTATCTTGTACTATCTTAGGAGGTTGTCAGGAGGATAAATCAAGTTGGAATACATAACATGCTTAGTACAGCACCTAGAAATATGACAAGCACTTACTAAACAGTAATAAGAGCAATCATCTGGAAACTTTACTTTTTTGCTAAGCATTCTACAGGTGTTAACACATTTAGCCTCTACTAATTCCACTACATATGAGGAATTGGAGGCACTGGGAGGTTTAGTGACTTGTCCAGGGTCACACAGCAAGTAAGCAGAGGACCAGGGTTTAGATCCAGCTATTGTGGCTGGGAGCCTGCCTTGACCACCCCACTCCACCTCCCTCAGTAGTAACTAGTCACTGTAATTACTGTCACAGCCCATCCTCTGGTGCTCTGCAACATTGATGGTTTTAGGTGTGACAAGAAATAGGGTTTCACCCTGGAAAAATATCCCGCCAGGGAACAGTGGGCTTTCTGCGATCGAGAGGCTTTTGGTGACCAGAGAGAGAAATGGGCAACAATGCTCAAATTGGGCACGGTGACTGGCCGGAAAGGAGCAACTGGGGACACTTAGAAGCCCCATGTGGCTCTAGAGCAGCCCACAGGCTGTGGCCTCGAGAATGAGGGGGAGCAGGGGCTGCCTCTGTCCTTGCCCTGTCCTGGAGTGGGGCATGGAAGCACAGCTCCCTCCTGCGCCCCAGGACCCCAGCCAGCACTTCCTCTGTCCAGGCAGTGATAGAATCTGGGTGCAGGGAGGACATGGAACCAGGTGTCTAAAAAGCCATGAAATATCTACCATTTATAAGCTCTGGCTTAGGGCGTGTAGGGTCAAAGTGTTGCTAGTGTCACTGGAGTTAAGCCCCAAGAAGGGAGAAACAAGTAGGCCTTATAGGGGGTTCGGGGTGGGGGGGGTGTTGGGTATCACGTATGCTCTGCCAGAAAGCTGACAGAAATGACAAAGATACTCAGCATGAAGATGCAGGACAGTGATGTGGGGACCCACAGGGCACTGGTCCTGAGCGACCCTGCTGTGGCCCATTGTCCTTTAAGTTTCTCTGTGGGAATAGAGAGCTGGTCTGTGGACACTGAGGCAGCCCCCAGCAGGCAGCGTCTGTGCAAAGCTGAGATGGGCCCTGGAAGGAGACTTCTGGATCACGGGCACAGAAAGGACTGATGGTGGGAGGGCACAAAGCAAGAAAGCTCCTTGGTGTCATCGCAGCACTATCTCCCCACCACATGAGGCCGAATGTCTATCGTGCAAGCACAGTGTCACCTCTACCTCAGCCCGCAGGGACTTGCTGTTAAGAACCTTGCGCAGGGTGCCCAGTAGCAGCTCCATAGCCAGGCCTCAAGAAGAACAGAAACCCTAGGCACCCGGGATCTAGGCAGTGGCAAGGCCCTCAGCAGTAGGGATGTGAGGATAGCCCCCGGGTGCCCTGTCCCCAGCAGGACTTGGTGCATCCTACTTGCCTACTGCTTGTCCTTCACCACCTCTGCTCCTTTTGCCCCTGTGCACTTGTGCCCACTCAGTTCCTTCTTCCTCCTCACTGGGCTTTTTGTCTGTGGGCTAATGTGGCCTCCCCAGTGCCTTAGTTCACAATGGCCTCTTGCTCACGGTAATGGCCTGATGCTCTTGGAGTTTCCTATTTCACACTCAAGAGAGGGTGAGTGCCCATGGCTGTCACAGATGACTGGGCTTCCCAGGGTCCAGCCTCCCTGGTGTCGAGTCCCATGTCCTGTCCAGAGGGTTGAGGGGTGCTGAACAGCAGACTCACATGCTTCACCAAAGGGCTGCCCTCTCTGGGGGCCCTGGGTGGGGGGCAACCCCAAAGTGACATGTCCAGTGTGGTGGCCATTCCTTGGCCCTCATTTCCCTGCTTTCACCACCGCACTGTGCAATCCTGTCCCTGAAGGGGAGGGGATCCCACAAATTCCACCCCCTGGGTGGCCTGCCATGCCTTGACTGCTACAGCCTGGAACCACAGCCCCGAGGATAGTGGTGGGCACAGGCTATTTGGCCCCAGAATGCCATGCAGCATCATGGAGCATCTTAGGAGAAACCTCAGCACAGACTGGTGGGCTTGAGTTTAGGCGGGAAGGACTGAATAGTCTGTTATTTCTCTCCAGGTGGAGGCCTCTGCTTGCTGGCGGCTTACTGTGAAGGTCCTGGAGGCCAGGAACCTGGGCTGGGCTGACCTGTGTGAGTAATGGTTTCCTGGGCTCCAGAGGTGCAGAGATGACCAGACCCTATGGGAAAGGCCCAGGCGAGAACCTGGGGGCTGGGCTGGTTGTGGCAGGAACTTGGTGAGTCCCCTGGAGAGGAGTGTAAGGAATTCTCTCTGACGCTGTTCTCTTGATGTTGGCAGTGAGTGAGGCAGACCCCTATGTGACTCTACAGCTGCCCACTGCACCTGGGACAAAGTTTAAAACCAAAACAATCACAAACTCCAGTCATCCTGTATGGAATGAGACCTTCAGTTTCCTGATCCAGAGTCGGGTCAAGGTAAAGGCCAGGGCCACCCTCCTAAGGACAGATTATATCCTTCTTTTGGAACACATTTCCCTCCAGGGCTCAGTCGGAGACACTGGGGAGGTGTCTTTGTTCCCAGCCTGGATAGGGCTGTGTGGGAGACAATGTGTGACCCAGCAGCTGGCTGTGAGTCTGACCTCTGGCAAGTTGCTGGTCCTCTCTAAGGCCGTGTGTGGAAGGGAGACAGGAAGAATCCCTTCCTGATGGGGTTGTTGTGAGGTTAAATGAGATAAATGCATGGAAGCTCCTGGTACATATGGTGCCCTGGGGGACCAGCAAGCTGGGGTGGCGGCGGGGGCGGCAGGGGGTGGGGGGAGATTGGAGGTGAGGAAACACTGAAAGGATTTTATTTTTTATAAAAAACAAAGGGTGGGGGAGATTAGGAACTTTGCTGGATTTCCTTTTACTGCTTTGAAGCTTTACTATCCTTTTTATTTTGAAGTACAAAGTATGGAGGCATAATAATCTTTCCTGACTCTGGACATCAAGTAAAGCTTCAACAGGTGTGAAGTACAGTAATGAGTAAATAATGTGTCAAGTTGCTGTTCTCGGGTCCCTAGAATATTCTGGAGCTAAACATCTATGATGAGGACCCCGTCACGGAGGATGATGCCTGCTTCAAGATTCTCTATGACGTCTCAGAAGTCCTCCCTGGCCAGCTGCTCCAGAAGACCTTCTCCCTGCGTCCCCAGGTGGGTGGGGATCCCCTTGGGCCCCACCTCTCTCAGCTCCAGGCTGAGGAAGTTACAGTTTTGCCTATCTATTGGGATGCTGCTGGGTTGAATTCGTTCTGGAAAGATGGCAACCCCGCCCAGAGATTGACACATTAATAGGAAAGGAAAAGGCTTAACTAGACTGTTACAGACTGAATCACTCCGTGGAGGGATTTTAGTCATCTATGGGAGGAAGGTTTCAGTGGTGAACAACTTCCTAATGTCCATCAAAACACAGCTCAGGGTAACTAACTCTTGGGGCAGTTGTGGGATCCATCACTCCTGCTCACTGCCTCTGATCTCCCGTGGTACCCAAGGCCTGCTTTATGAAGGCCTCTGCTCTTTCTCCAGCAGGTAAGGAGTGGGAAGGCAGGGTTCTGGGGTCAGGTTCCCCACAAGAGGAACAGGAGATGGGCCCTGGGTGTCCTTAAGCCTCTTTAGGCTTGTGCTCATCCCTCTCTTCAGCCCTGCCAAGAAGAGAGAACTGCTCTCTGCAGACTTATCAGCTGTAGGTAACTTGGGCAGGTAGACCATCTTTCCCTAAGCCTCAATTTCCTCATCTGTAAAGTGGGAAGAATTGTTATACTGTGCATCCCTGAGACACTGCTCGAGACAAGACAGTGCGTTGTCAAAGAACTGTGTCAACTCCAAAGATATGTGTAAATGTTGATGACTTGTTTATCTTTGATTTCAGGGACAGGAGGAGCTGGACGTGGAGTTCCTGATGGAAAAAACGTGAGTAACAATCACACAGTCTGGGGAGTGTCTCAGGACCCAGGATTTATTTAGGGAAATGTCTTTGACCCAGATTCACCATCCCTCAGTCCCCACCCCTGCCAGTCTGGGTGGGGGGGTCTTAGAGGAAAGTCACTGCTTCCTTGGCCCCACTGTCCCTCTCTTTCCTCACCTTGCACTTTTCAGAAGCACCCCCCTCATGAATGGTACCCAGGACTTATGGTCCCTCAGCATCTCCCTGGGGAGGCCCCAGGGAGGCTGGAGGCTGGCCTGTGAGGGGACAGCCCAGTGCAGGGAGTATTCACCTTTGCCAGGCTGAGCTCCTGATGTCTTGATTTTTCCAGGTCAGAACGCCCAGAAAACCTCATCACCAACAACGTCCTTGTGGTAACCACTCTCCTCAGGCTTGTAAGGGCATCTGAGGGAGGGGCCCCAGAGCTGAAACTGAGGTAGGAGGTGCGGAAGGGACAGGCAGGGACAGAGGCTTGTGGTACTACCACCCCTGGCCTCCCAGATAGGTGGTTACCGGGGCTGTGATCAGGGGCTGGGGCTTGGAGGGGCCAGGGCCTTCAGGGAATATGGAGAGAGAGAGTTTGAGGCTCTGCAGAGAGGAGGTTGTAGCCCAAGGCTGGATGGCTGAGGGAGTGTTGGGGGAATTTTAGGTGTTCCTGACAGTGTTGTCACCTGTGATGGACTTAAGTTCTCAGCCTTGGAAGGTGGTGAGCGAGTCATGAAGGCCAGGCCGGGCTGGGGTGTTAGTACTGAAATAGCAGAGGCTCAGAGGGAGTTTCCAGTGTGGTTGCTTCCAATCTGGGGGCTCTGGGATAGCGTCAGGGGGTCAGTCAGCTCCTCCTTGAGACACTGGACAGTCCTGGTCAGCTCTTCTAAAACAGAGCAAGCTCACATAGCTGCAGTGGTAACCAATGCACTTTCTACTCAAAGCTCACAGGTGAGCAACACAGCCATGACCTGGGAGCAGGGCTGGGCCTAAGGTAAGGTAAGGCACATAGAGTCTCAAACTGAAGAAAGCATTTACCCTCAGGGTTGTGCAAGTGCCTGTTTGATGGGCTAGTATCACTTTTACAAATGCACGTTAAAATCATCATACCTAGGCAGCTGCTTTTTATCTGAGTGATGGAGACCAGTGGTGGGTTGATAAAGTCAGCAGATCTACAGGAGAGCATCGGTAACAAGACCCGGGTGGACTGTGGGTGTCAGCTGACAGGCATTACAGAGAATTCTGCGGGCTCATTTGGCCAGCAGGTCAACAGGAGGACAGCCGGGAGGTACCTTCATTGTTAACATTGTAAAGGCTTCTCCAATCATAGACCAGTGGTTTGCACGCTACTGTTTGGGGGCAGTTATGGTAGAACACACTCTCCAGATTGAGTCCAGAGAAACACAGAGAAGAAAGAACGGTGTCTGAGGCTTGGGTGGCCTTCAAGGATCCCCGATGTTTGGCAAATCTAGGAAAGCTTGGGGGTGGGGTGTGCAGGGTGGAGATTGGACTCTCCTGGCTGCTCCAGAACACCTGACTTGGCAGTTGCAGCAGATTAGAGGTGTCTCGAGTCAGGGGTTCTGCCTCCAGTCCCACTCTGGCCCTCACTTCCCGTTCTGTGTGTGGTGGATTTGGGAGAGAGGGGTTCTGAGAGCAAAGCCAAGGAGACCTCAGCTTTCCCTCCAGAGCCCCCTGCCCATGATATGGTCTGCCCCAGGCCCGAGAGCTGTCATGCCTGGATGTCCATCTGGTCAGCATTGGGAGCACAGCCACGGTCACAGGTGAGGCCTGCTCAGAACCAGGTCTGGCTTCTGCCTGAGGGTGGCTCAGAACCAGGTCTGGTCTCTGCTAGATGGGGTGACTGGAAACCTGTACAGAGTGGGAGGTGAGCAGCCGAGCAGAGCTTGCCTCTTTCTTCTTGCCCGCACTGGACAAGGGCAACAAGTCTCCTCTAGGCAGGAGGGTCCCCTGACCTGGAGGAGGCTATGTAGCAGGAGGTAGGAGTCCCATGGGGGTTGTGGGGCCCAGAAGACTGGGGAGGGCTCTTTCCAGAATCCTGTCTACCGGCCCGGGCTCCCAGGCCTTGGCCAAGTTCAAGCAGCACTGCCGATTTCCCTGGGACCCTGCCGGGATTCCTGGCTCTTGTTCCACTTGTGCTAATCTGCCCATTTTCTCCCTAGATCAGGATGAGCTGGAGTTGGTGCTGAAGGGCTCATATGAAGACACACAGACCTCTGCACTACGCACAGCATCCTTCCGCTTCCATTACATGGCAGCCCAAGAGGCAGAACTGAGTGGGCATCTGAAGGTAGGTCTTTGCTTTGGAGCTCTCCCAGCCTTGGGCCAGCTCCAGCTGTTGTGGGCCCCTCTCAGGCCAACACCAGGCTCCTGTGGCCTTGCCAGCCTCCCCCAGTTAGACACTAAGCCCTTGGCAAGACAGGGAAATCACCAGGAGCCTCAAGTGGGCATGGGGGCTGTTATGCCTTGTCAGACTGTCTGACCTTTTCAATGGCTCCTGCAATGATGCTTTTAGATTAAAATCCCATATCTGTGCCCACAAGGCCTGGCCCTTGCCCACCTCTGTTGCCTCGTCTTGGTCCACACTCCCCCTCTTTATGATGCTCTAGCCATACTTGTCTCTTCTTGCTTTTCTAACATGCCAAGTGCTTTCTCTCTTCTACCTCTGACTCCTTTCAAGGCTGCCTGATCCTCTACTTCCTCTTTCTTCTTTTAGATCTCAGCTCAAATAGCACCTCTTCAGAGAGGCCTTCCTTGACTCCCCATCTTAAATAGACCCCACACACCCCACCTTTGGTTATTGTATCATATCACACTGCTTATTTCCTTTACAACATTTTTTTTCCTTTACAACACTTACTAACATCTGTTCATTACCTAATTCATTATAAATTCATACCATAATTCAGTTAGAACCATAAATATTAGCAGGAATTTTTATAATTAGTAATTTTAATTACCATAATTATAATAATTATAAATATTGTGATTATTTTCATATTATCAGAGAGGGACTGTGTCTGGATCACTCTCTAGATACTCAGTAAGGATTGGCTGAATGAATGAATATTTCCCTCCAGAGGTTGGAAAGGAATGCCTGGACTTCAGACAAGTCAGCTGAGCACCTCACTGTGCCTCTAAGGTCCTTGGCCATGGGAAAGGAGGTGACCATTAACGTTCCTGCTACAAACGTAAGTGGCTTCAACTGGATGGGAAGTGCCAGTGAGAATAAAGATGGGGAGCCCAGGCCCCCAGAGTCTACCCACTTTCCCTCCAGGGTCTAAGACATCCTAGTTCAGTCTCTTGCTTTGATTTCAGGCCCCAGAAGTGAGGCTGCAGCTCAAGACTGAGGGCTGGTAAGGGACATTCATATCTGTGGGAGACAGTGAGGGATGATCATGGGGCAGGGGAGAGCTGTGCAAAGGCTGGCCTTTGGGGATGGGAGAAGGGAGGTTATTTGGCATCTGTTGTGGGCTTGGCCAACCAGTGGCTGAGCTATGCGGTGTCCCCTAACTCTTGGATCTTCTACTGCCCAGCCCTAAGGAGCTGGCTATGCACCTGGGCTTTGATCTGTGTGCAGAGGAGAAAGCTTTCCTGAGCAGGAGGAAGCAGGTGGTGGCCAAGGCTCTCAAGCAGGTCTTGCAGCTGGACAGAGACCTACAGGAGGATGAGGTTTGGGGGTGCAATACCTTGGAATGACCTTAAGGAAGTACCCGATTCCTATGCCCTCCCTAGACACTCTAGTCAGCAGACATGGGAGTGGACATGGAGCGGGGTAGGGGGTGGTGGTGAAGGGGGTAAGCTCTGGGGTTCTCATTCTCTTTGGGGATCTGTCCGGGGCTGAGATCTGTCACTTCCTGGGGAGGGGCTGGGTACTAGCTCTAATCCCGACTCCAATCAGGCCCTGGCCATGAGGTCCCTTCCCTGGAGCCAGGAAGTAGTTTCATCCTGAGTCCTTGCTAAGCCAGCCTATTTTTGTGTGTGGTCCAGGTCCCTGTTGTGGGCATAATGGCCACAGGAGGAGGTGCCCGGGCCATGACGTCTCTCTACGGCCACCTGTTGGCCCTACAGAAGCTGGGCCTCCTGGACTGTGTGACCTACTTCAGTGGCATCTCAGGCTCCACATGGTGAGGGCCCTGGGGACTGGAAGACATAGATGATCAGGTCCCAGAGGGGAGTGGAATAGACACCAGGGGAACCTTCTCTGTGAGGAATCCACATGGGTGTGAGCAGTCCGGTCTGACAGGTGCCAAAAGTGACTTTCTCAAAAGGGAGGAAGTAGATGTTACAGAGGTCCTGCCATGGGAGAGGCATTGTAGGACATCATTCCATGCTACCGAAGAGGTATAAGGCAGCTGATTCAGAAGGAGCTGGGTTTGAGTCTCTGCAACACCACTTCCTGGGCAACTTATTTCCTCTGATTCTCAGTTGACTCACCTCCAAAGTGGGGGTAATAGTAGTACATAGTTCATAGGACTGTAATGGGACAGCCCAAGTAAAACACTTAACATGTATGATAAGTACCAGGAACTCCAAATTGGTAGCTCTCTTCTCTTTAATTGTTGTTACCTCATTAAATCCTTATAACACTCCCTAGGGTAGTTTCTCTTACTGCCCCTAACGCATAGATGAAGAAATTTAGATGGAGAGATACTATCTTGCCTGAAGACACCACTGCCTCCCTGTATCTGACTCTGCCTATGAAGAGGTGGGGCTTTTCACTGTTAGAGATTCACTCCTTTGAGTCTTACTGAAATGTGACTTTAAGGAGTAAAAGAAGAGTAAACTCTGAGGAGTTTAGGTGATAGCTGTTGACATGCAGCATCTTAAAGGGCTTGAGGACAGGCCCATGAAGATGGGCGTAGGGTCTAGATCTGTTCCATACAATGCGGTAGCTGCTAGTCACCTGTGGATAGCAACCACGTGAAATGTGGCAAGTCCAAACTGAGATGCGTTATAAAATACACAAGGATTTTGAAGACTTAGTTTGAAAAATATAAATTTATGTCAATTTTTTATGTTGATTACATGTTGAAATTACAAATTTTAGATATATTGAATTAAAACATTATTAAAATTAATTTTTACTAGCCTTCTCTTTTTCAAAATGTACTTACTAGGAAATTTCAGATTACTTATGTGACTCACATTATATTGGACAGCGCTGATCTGAGAGAAAGCCCTGAGACACATTCTCTAGATGGGCAGGGCCTTAGCTGCAGGAGTGCCATGTTGGGAGAAGTGGGAGGGAAGTGTTGCAGTGACCCAAGCTGGACCTCCGTCTCCCTCCATATTGTCCCTTTATTCTCCCAGGACAATGGCCCACCTCTACGGGGACCCGGAGTGGTCACAGGGGGACCTCGAAGGGCCCATCAAATGTGCTAGAGAGCACCTGGCCAAGAGCAAACTGGAGGCCTTCTCCCCAGAGCGCCTAGCAAGCTACTGCCGGGAGCTGGAGCTGCGGGCTAAGCAGGGCCACCCCAAGACCTTTGTGGACCTGTGGGCTCTCGTGCTGGAGTCCATGCTGCATGGCCAGGTAGGGCACCTGCTTGCCAGGCAGGGCATATGTGCACCTGCGGGACCAGGGCAACCTTGCAGTTGTGTGTGCATTTCCCACAGGTTGAGGGAGACGGGGATCTGTGGTTAGAGGAAGTAGGAACCACAGTGTCTCAGTGTCTGCCCTACTTTGGGATGCTGCCTTTTTGAATCAGGCTATTCTTCAGTTCATTGCCACAAAATAGAAATTTATGGATCTCTCAAGAGCTTAGGGACCAGTCAATGCCAAAGTCAGTTCGGCAGTGAAATGAAAGTCTCACATTATGTTTGGGTGTCAGAGAGATTGCTTGAGCAATTTTTATTTTATCAATACTGCAATATGGAATGTATTCTTCTTCTCTATCTTCATGGCAGTGTTAAAAGCACAGACTCTGGAGCCAGATTCCCTGGGTTTAATCTCAGTACCTCTTACTAGCTATATGTTCTTATGCAAGTTACTTAACCTCTCTGTGCCTCAGTTTTCTCATTTGTTCAGGGGGGATGAGAGAGAGGGGAGATTTAGTGAGAACAGCTCTCACCTCAAGGCATTGTTGTGAGCATTCTGTAGTGCTTTGGGATAGAGTAAGCATTAAGTATTAGGTATTATATTTCTTTACTGTTATTGTAACACCATTAAGACAAAACTGAGGGTATGCATTTTTTTTTTACATTGCTTCTTTTTTTTTAATTTTTTTTTAATGTTTATTTCTGAGACAGAGAGAGACAGAGCATGAGCGGGGGAGGGCAGAGAGAGAGGGAGACACAGAATCCAAAGCAGGCTCCAGGCTCTGAGCTGTCAGCACAGAGCCCGACGCGGGGCTCGAACTCACAAACCGTGAGATCATGACCTGAGCTGAAGTCAGTTGCTCAACTGACTGAGCCACCCAGTCACCCCTTTACATTGCTTCTTTAAGGAAGAAGCACTATTTTCCCACTATTGTTTTACCACATATAATTATGCAAATGTTTCTTTTAAAGTATGTGGAACAACTAAAACACAAAAGGTCAGCATTCATAATTAAAAGTAAACTATCAAATATATTAGCAGAGAAAGGATTCTTGTCTTTCTTATTTTTGGGAATCAGGAGTTTGACCAGGAAAGATTTTTTATAAATGAATGAGTGCCCAAAATGGCTTTGTTTTGAATTTTTCTTTAAATGTTATTCTTGCTGGCAAGCACAATGGTATTTGGAAATTACCAACCATTCTTGTTTTGTATTTATTAGTTTAAAAACATTTATTATAAAAATCAGTATTTCTTATTTAAATATTATGATAATCTTCAGATTATCAAGATATAAAAATCCTGATAAGAAAATGCATAAAGCAGAAAGAATAACGTAATGAATATGCACAATCTCGCCAACCAGCCTCAGAAATATAATGTTACAGAAAGAGTTGAAGCCCCCTGTGGCTCACTCCCCAGTCCCATTTCCCTCCCACCCCAGAGGGAACCACCATCCTGAATTTGGTTTTATCATCACACTCATATCTTCGGTCTTACACGTTATTGTATTGTATAATACAAAACATAAGTACATAACATACTTTACTTTTATTGTTTATCTTATTATACACCTTTTATTATACATCCTTAAGAAAAATATAATGTTACTTGTAGAAATGGTTTTGTACAAGTCCCCTTGTGCACAAATGTTAGAGATTCTCTGAGTCTTGAAGATACACACCCAGCAGTGGACTTATCAGGCCATTGGGCACATGTATCGTTTGCTTTCCTACCTATTGCCAAATTGTTCTCCAAATTGTTGTCCAGAAAGGCTTCATTAATTCACACCCCTACCATCAATGTATCATGGTTTCTTTTTCTTACGTGCTCTTTAAAATTTTAATTTTTTGATCATTTTATGGGTGCTATACAAAATTTTGTTATAGCTTTCCATTTCCTTGATATTGATATATTTATTAATTAATAGCAATTAATATTAATAATTAAGAATATTTAAAATTCAATAAATATTTAATTTAATATTTAATTTATAATATCTAAGTATAGAATAGAATATATAAAATATATAATATATAAATATAAATATATAATTTAATATTTAATAAATGTTTAATAAACTTAATAATTAATAAATAATAATTAAAATATCTAAATATAA